AATCTTTACTGTTATTGCTGAAAGAAGTTAAAAGAACATGCATTTTCACTCCACTTGAAAATGGCTTGCCCATCTGCTACTTACGACGTCATATCTCGTATCTATAGTAACTGACCATCACTAATTAACTTGTCTCAAAATGCGAGCGAGGGAAAAAAGAAAAGTTATTGAGAACGTCAGGTGCTGATGTTTTATTGTCTAGGAAAAAACTAAAAAAAAACTTAGAGGGATCGGAGGAGGCGGCTATTAAAAAGGAATGATGTGCACTTCATTCAATGACGTGAATGTTACTGCAAATAGAAAGTTACTTGAACAGGCCAAAACGTTTTTTACTTCGTTCTTTCATTTAGTGTAGAATCCTAAACACCGACTTATATGTCGTCATATATCTTAGAAATTGTTTGCTCTTAAAAACATCCTTTATCGTCGGTCAATTTCTTCTGTTCTTCGCACCTGAAGAAGAAAAGAAGTCATATAAAAAATTCAGCAATGGAATTGAACGTTTTATTTGAGGGTTACAGTTTGATAAAATCGCTCCAAATGACCGCAATTCCACAAAAATTGACAAAAAATTTGCAATCCAAACTCACTCCACGCAAGCATGCGATCCGCTGAATATCAAACTACAGTCCTGCTAAAATTTTTAATAATAACTCTGTATAATTTATACGAATGTTTTGACAACCATCCAATCAAAATCACTTCCGGTTTTTGGATTGGAACATCAGTGAACAGTGTGAGTGCCCAGCTTTCAGACGTCTCTCTCGAAAGTTTGCGACTGGACAAGTTTATATAACTCAGTTATCAATAAATCGGAGGCTTCTTACCTTTTTTCATATGGATATGCTTGGAAGTTTATAAGCCCTGAAGACAGACCCAAGGGTGTTGCTTCCAACTTCAGCGTTTATCGAGTGAGTGATTATCATATCTCCTCAATAAAATGTTTCTGTGCCAGGGGTAATTATTACACAGTTTAACTTATCCTGAAAGCGAAGATCCCCATCTTTTTTCTACCGGATAAACGAGTCAGTCTTTAGATACTTTCGTCGAAACTCGAACTTCGAGATTTCTATTTGCCCTTAGATGTCCTTATTATTGAGTCTGAAGGATTTAAACAGTCCAGTTAGTTATCTCATAGACTATATGCAGCAGCTCCAAAGGGGGGAACTTACTTAGGATTCCTTGCGTAATCTAAGTTTCGTAAAACTGTTTTAAGTAATAACAGAAACTTGTCGTTACCACATGCAGAAGGAATTAAAAATTACGAAAGAAAGAAAAGTAAATTCATCTCTGTATCACTTTTTCCTTAAAATGACCGTGACACATCAATCATATGGTTAATAAACTATATTTGTAAAAACAAAATGCATTTGTCTTTTTGCGACCAGATGGCGGAATTGTCAATTTATGCCCATTAGGACAAGACCGGAAAAATGAAGCATTAATTACAAAACGATCGATGGCGGTTTCAAATGGCCAGCTAACGTCAGTAATAAAATTGAGATCATGCCTGCTGTTTTTGGTCAAACATTTTTATTTGTCAGCCCGATAAGTCGGCACCTCAGGTGACAAAAAACTGTCTTTTTTGCATTTGAATTTGATTTTTTGGGGGAGAAGGGTCAGGCTCCTTAAGATATATCGAAACATATCCCGCGTTAAATCTTGTTTGAGTTTTAATTGCTGGGCGTATTTGGATCTTCACAGGCAAACAACTCAGACAATTGAAGAAGCGAACAGCAGTCAGAACTCTTTTAGCCACCAAACGTTAGGAGACGTACAACTGATCAGAAGAGCTGAAAATTTTGAGGTAAGAAAATAAAACTTTTAAATAACAAGAATGATATGGAAGTGAGAGGTGATTTTTCCTACATTATTTTTTAGTTATTTCAGTGATGTTCATACTATGATCATGACCAGCGTTCGTGCAATATTCCTGTTTATTTCGGCATCACTTTCAGTTCATGTAAAATATTCATGTGTTATGTACATATTATATTATATTGTGAAGAGAGAGCGTCCGTTGTCCTCTCATCCACTAATCCCTCTCTCCTTCCATCCTTCCTCCCTTCCTTAGTTTCAGCGGTTGAAAGATCTATCCGTATCCAATCATTGTTCTATTATTTATTCAAAATAATTTCTAGTTTAAAAGGATAGCTAAAACATGCTTACCGTTACCTTAATCGATGTTAACTTCCATCTTCAATTGCATATTTCTCGTAAAGTTCTGAAGATATTCAAGCTACAAATAGCAGACGTCGCCTGAAAAGAAACATTTAACATTGTTTTTCATTTCAGTATTTCTTCATTTTGTATTTTTTATTAATTCAATAAAAGTCTTTTACTTTATGTTTTACGTCAATACATGAACAGCTTCTGTTTCTATTTTGACAGTCGTCGCATACACGAACTTGACTTCCTTTTACAGCGGTTAGCATGTTCATCGCTCACGCCACGCTGGTTCATAGAAGCACTTCGATGTATCAATGACCTTGTCCATTCAGAAAAAAAAAAGTCCTATTTCTGCTTTAGCGTTTTGCACGGTTTTGATAATGATTTCACCTAGAGTGATTGGATTGCGTTCACTGGAAAGTGATATTTTTTTACAATTCTTGACCGGCGGAAAAATGCAAAAAAATTTCTCCATCAGCGGCATTTGCTATATAAATAAAAAAGAACGAAAAATACCGGGTGTTGCATGGACACTACTGGACACAGAAGAACACCGACTGATCATGGCGACAAGACGCAAGCTTAGGAGACTTTCCCTTCGCCAAACGAGAGACTTGATTTTTTTTTTTTTTATGAATACTTGGACCCATGATGTAGATAATTTATAACAGTAGTTATGTTGACCTTGATGGCCATGAGTTTCTCTATTCTCTGGTCGGTTTCGATCGGTCCATTCTTTATTTATTTACTCTATTTATTTTCTCCCCAAAACGACGATATACTTTATGTAATAAGAAATTCTATTTTTTTTTATTGATTGAAATATTTCTGAAACTTGAACTAGAATCAAACTTAAACAATTGAGCAAAATGTTGCTCGGATCTTTCTCTGAAAAAAAAAATGCATTGCTTTGAAGGGAAAGAAGTTATTTATTTATTTATTTTTTTCAGTAAAACAACCGTGTCATACATAGAACCATCCTCGGTGACCCAGGGGCAGATAGTGGGGACGAGGGAAAGTCTAAACGGGCGGAAAAATATGACACGAAGAAAAGTAAAGAACGGCGAGAAGAGCCCCTGGGGACAATGTCTTACCAGACCAGTTCCAACGGTCGCCGCCGTTCTGGCTTCTGATTGGTGCCAGAAAAACACAAGTTTTCTGGCACCAATCAGAAGCCAGAACGGGGGCGACCGTTTGGAACTAGTCTGGTAAGACATTGTCCCCAGGGGCTTTTCTCGCCATTCTTTACTTTTTTTCGTTCCGTATATATTTTTCCGCCCGTTTAGACTTTCCCTCGCCCCCTTTATCTGCCCCTGGGTCTCCGAGGATGACATAGAACAAGTTCAAATTTCATTTTGTCCATGTTTTCTCGGAAAATATATTCAAAATTTCATGTGGTATTCACGACTTAAAAAAATGCGAAAATAATAATAATAAAAAAAACTTCTTGAAAGATGTAGTGTAAAGAAGTATTTTTAAGACTGTAGCTTAATTGGCTTCTTTTTTTCTATTTATTTATTTATTTGTTTTTTGTTCTAACTCCCTGTCTCCGCGGTCTCCCAGAAAGCTTGAACAGGCTTTTTAAAATTGACTTCGTTTGATCAAATAAACGCCAGGGTGATCTGCGAACGGACTATATAATAATTCCCTGGGGTACTTCTTTATAACAATCTGTCTCCGTCTCCAGGGGAACTCCTCTATTGAAGTTTCTGATAGGATCATACAGTTATGTAGATTAGCTGCAGAGATAATTAACGTTATTGTCTGCAAATAGGAGAGACATTTTATCCCCAGTTTTTACCCTGACCAGGGTAATGCATATATGGGAAATAAGGTAAGGGATTTAAGGAATTATGCATCGTATCATCACCGGCCTTTTTGCAGTACGCTTTAAAAGATTGGACTAGCATAATTTTTGGCACAATTAGTTACTACGAGCATAATTTTCATCTATTTTTCGAAAATAAAGCACTGCTAGCATAATTTGCACTTTCTGGTATAATTTTGCAGTACAAAAATTGTCATTTATGGAACATGCAACCAATGTTTTTAGTCCGAGATCTGTGTTACAGGCAAATCTAAGTAACGAATTCATTTATTTGTCTGTGGTTACCTGGGGTAGCGTCCGCGTGTTGGTTGTTTATTGTTTGAGTTTTTATACTTGTCAGACAATGAATTAAGGACTCTTAAAGTTTCTTGATGTAAACAGGGTAAATGATACTTGTAAATGAAGCATTGAGGTGTTTTTTTTTTTACTAAATTCGAAGTAAAAAGCGAGAAGCTTAATTTCGGCCTTTTTGTTGTTGTTGTTGTTGTTGTTTTTTCTTTTTTGCTGAAACGAGTTTAATTTACAAAAACTAACAGAATTACTGGCATAATTTTAGAAATATACGAGCACTGCAAGTAGCATATCGTGCTACTTTTGCGAGAACAGTCTATCAAAGCCTATTTTCCAGGGGCACCCCCTTCCTCCCTCCCTCTCCCCCCTTACTCGTGGTTATTAAACTTTGCGTGCATAACTCTTTAACACCCACGAAATAAATTCAGTGACACGCTATGAACCATGATTGTTTTGTTTTCAACAGATTTGAAGATAGCAGGCATGAAAATATTATTCATTATTTTCGCTATCATGTTCCCAGTCGCGTTGATAACAGAGGAAGATGTAAATCATGGAGGTAATAACTACGACAAGAATTCAATTACGCACCTGCGGATTGTCACCATTTTATTTCAATTCCGGTCTCTGCTTCATGTACAGAAAGCCGCTTAACATTTTTATTTTTACACTTTCCCTAAAACATCATTCCGGGGATTTATTCACCATAATTTTTACATCGTCCATAAAATTTGCACGAGAATAGTTTTCAATTTTTCCTGTGAGTAAGCGGTCATCATAAGAGAAATTGAAGACAATTTACTTATGCACGATTCTTGGGGGTAAACAAGGTGTTTTACGGGCGATGTAAAAATTGTGAATATGTCTAACAACTTCATTGTTTTATTATCATTTTTTTCATTTAAAACTTCAAAAATTTGCGATCAGTATTTCGCAAAATTTCTTCTTACGTACAGAGTCCTTTCATGAATTGCCTTGCTCTATTTTTTTCTTACTTCATGTATTTGAAAAAAGTTTGTATTTGAGAAAATCTTGCTATACAAACCCCTCTTTAAATCGGACAACCCCCTGGTGTTGGCCCCCGTCATTGTCCAGTCATTTGACTTTAATTATGCTTTCTATGAGGCGGAAACCTCTCGAAGAAGGACAACGGACACTTTCAAAACCGTCAACGGTCCCTTGAGAAGTGCTTTAGGTAATGAAAAATACCGCAGGACGGAACTGTACTACATGACAAGTAATTGCAATTAAGATAAGCAAATTACACACCCATCCAAAATACAGTGCGCGTCTTCTCACAGCTCGTATCTTCTAAACGCCTCGTGGAGAACCTCTTTACCTGTGAAACAGCTATCTTCTCCGTCTTTTAATTGAACTCTTTGAGTCTAATGGGAATTTCAAATGGTGATATCAAAAACAAACCATTATAACTTAGTTTTCATATGATTTAGTACTTATCATAGTTAAGTATTTACAGTGGTGTACTGTAGAACCCCGGCAACTCGAACTCTGAGGGGAAACACAAAACAGTTCGAGTTAGCGAGTTATCGCGGTCGATTAAAAATTCAATTTACCACGTTGCAGTTATTTTTTGGTCAAGGGAAAATAATTTTAGTTCGAGTTGGCAAGGAATCCTAGTTTTCCGAGTTCGAGTTGACTTAGTGAAAATGACTAGAAAGTGGGGTGAAATCCAAGGGAAATTGGACTTAGTTTGAGTTATTAATGCTCGAGGAGTTCGAGTTACCCGAGTTCGAGTTATCGGAGTTCTTCTGTATCACTATTTGTTTTGCTTGAGTATAAACTGTTGTTAAAAGAAGCAAATACTGAATTTTCATCACTTTGCAGCCTTGTTCCGATTCCACATCTCCAGTACATTGATTCGTTTTTTTAATTGCTTGCACAAGTAAAAACTATGTGTATTTATTGCGAATAATTAAGTTTAGCTTTATTTTCTTGTAATTACTGGCGCCATCTTACTTTGACTCTCTATTACCGGGACGCCTCTCTTTAATAGACAGAGACTCGGGACGGGTCCTGAAGGTATCCGTCTTGGAAAGAATTGACTCATAATAATAATAATAATAATAATGATAATAATAATAATAATAATAATAATAATAATAATAATAATAATGATCATTATTCTTATTATTTATGTTATTATTATCGTCATTGTCATTATCGTTATTGTTTTTTAATTGGATTTTTTTTTCTTTCGAATGTATATATATTTCTAATGGAATGAATTTTTTCAATCGAAATTCAAGTGTCTTTTAATTTTTTTTAATCGAAAGGAATTGTAAATAGTGCTTTTACTGAATAGTTTTCTAAGTGAAATTAGTTGTAAATAGGATTTTATAGTTAGTTTTTGTTGTCAATAAAAGATTTGGATTTTTTATTATCAATCATTTATCGTTATCGTTATTTTCATTAAATTATTATTATTATTATTATTATTGCTATTGTTTTATCGTCATTTTTCTATTATTGTTATTATTTATTATTACTAGATAATAATTTGTTTTAATTGTTATATTTATTATTGTTGTGCACGATTGATAAAATATCGTTAGCTTACAAATTTAAATTTACTGTTCATATGTGTTGCTGGTTTGCAGTTTGTCCTGTTCCAATGACAAAAGAGGAAGAGGAGTTTATTAAAGAGCGGGAAAGGAACAGAGAGTTAATGAAAGAAATCGCCAGAGAAATTGAAATGACCTGCTTAGGTAAGTTAAAAAAAATAATAAATAACAATAATAATAAAAACCTTGATGAGCAAGTCCTTCCGCGCGAATTGCGTGCCCTTTTGAATAGTTGAACCCTTTGGGGCAGTTGGGAGTGTTCCATATGGAACAATGTAGAGTAGTCACTTTGACTTACCCTTTTAATGAATTCTAGTCCATGAGCCGTTTTGTGAGAAGTGGGTAAAAATGTAATGTAGTAGTAACCCTGATTAGACATAGAACTGCGGAAATGAAATCAAATGAAGAATGATTCTCGCAGTTGCGAACACAATTTATTTATGCAATTACGTAAGAAGCCTGAAAAAAAAATTCAGGACTTTAACGGCATTTGAACCCGTGACCTCGCGATACTGCTGCGACGCTTTAACCACCTAAGCCAGTTTTGAGTGAAAACGCATGTTTTTTCAACTTTTTTTGCGATTTTAACCTGATTTTCAGTTCTTGGTAAAATCCACCCAAGACGGGCGG